CCTCTAATGGTCTTTTTCACTGTTAAAAATATACTAAACTGTTTTTACTTACCTTTTAGAAATTTATTTTGTATATGCACAGATACATACACGGTCCACTCAGATCTGTTGATACATTGATCTGCTCGCTGACTTGGTTTCTAAGCCAAGAGGAAGCACAAGGGAACACAACTGATTTCTTACCTCCTCTTGTTTTGCTTCAAGAGTGTTGATATCAGGCATGTTTTAGGAATAACTTGAACTCAGCCCATTAGCTCAGCATTACTGAACTGCAAATCAGGGCTAGTCTCTCTGATGTGTTTTAATAGTAAATAACTCCTTGTACTTTTGCAGATACTCCCTATCCTCCTCTTCCTCCCCAAAAAAGAGGGGATGGAGGGAAGGAAACAACCCTGGAAATTATAGTAAACTCCTCCAAGGTAAGTGACTGAGAACTCAGTTACATGGTGTTGACCCAGGTTTGCTAAAGTGAGTTACTCTGAATAAAAAATACAGAATGCCAGTAGGGCTCACCTGCAGCATGTCCAGAATACCTACAAGCACTTGTGTTCCTGATAGATATGTTAATATTTCAGTTCAACAGACTATCAAGATTATATTTCCATCTGATTATCATTCTACTCTGAAGCAGTTTTTCTATTACCCGCACCCCTCAACTGATTAAGCACCTCAGCACACAGGAAAGTAGGGAATGTGTTCAAAGATGCATATGTCACATTTAAAAAAAAAATCTAAGTGAATGTCCATTTATACAGATTAAAAGACTGAGGCACAGAGTTAACAAATCTTTGCAACTTTTGCACAGTTGAGTTTAGAATCCTTCAAATTCCCAAGGTCTAAAGTATATTAATGAGCAATTCCTGTTCCCTCCAGTAAAAGTTTGGCATATACTGGGGGCAAATTGTACTGAAGCACAGCAGGGTTTCATAGGAAATGCTTGACGATGCTTTGGGGAATGTTCTTCTCATGCACTTCGCACAGCATTTGCTGCTACTCACAGCATGGCAGCCCTTATGCACAGAGTGGTTTCAAACTGCCTAGCCTTTTTTCTTAGCCCTCTGAAGAGCCTGTGTTGCTGCTTTTTCTCCTAGTCCTCTTTCACCCACCTCCTTGTATACCTGGAGTGAGAGAGAATTGTGTGTTGGTATGCAATGCATTTTCAGGGAACTAGTTACTTCTAGGTTAAACATTGGATATGTAATTGTGAGTCTGTCACATTGGTAACAGAATAATCGAGGAAGCTGTAATGAAGAATCTGAAACAGGTGCTTCAAAGAATAGAGCTAGAACAGACCCAAAGTTTTTCCAGTCCAACTGCCTGGACTGCATGTTATCAGCTATACTATCCTTTTAATTTTCTTACTCCTTGAACATTTCCATTTATGGCTGGTCATTCATTTCCTGTTCCTGTTGCTTTATAGTTTGTTATTGGCACCAGAAGGGTCCTTAGCTAAACCGCACCTATGATTCATAGATTCATAGACATTAGGGCTGGAAGGGACTTCAGAAGATCATCGAGTCCAGCCCCCTGCCCCAGGGGCAGGAAGTCAGCTGGGGTCATAGGATCCCAGCAAGATAAACATCCAAACTTCTCTTGAAGGCATTCGAAGTAGGTGCTTGAACCACCTCTGGGGGCAGTCTGTTCCAAACCTTGGGGGCTTGGACAGAAGGAAGAACTTCTTTACTGTCCAGCCTGAAACGGTCTTGGAGGAGTTTGTAACCATTTGACCTCGTCATCCCTTGGGGTGCTCTGGTGAACAGACGTTCCCCCAGGTCCTGGTGAGCACCCCTGATAAACTTACAGGCGGCCACCAGATTCCCCCTGAGTCTGTGCTTTTCCAGGCTAAAGAGCCCCATGGCTCTCAGCCTCTCATCATAAGGTCAGTTTTCTGACCTCTGATCATGCGCGTGGCTCTCCTCTGCACTCTCTCAAGCTTCTCCACATCCTTTTTGAATTGTGGAGCCCAGAACTGGACGTAGTACTCCAGCTGCGGCCTCACCAAGGCAGAGTACAACAGGAGACTTGCATCCTGGGATTTGCTTGAAAAGCATCTATGGATGCAAGCCAGCGTTTTGCTCGCTTTATTAGCCGCAGCATCATATTGAAGGCTCAAGTTCATCTTGTGGTCAATCATGACCCCCAAGTCCCTTTCATTCGTAGTGCTAGCCAGCGTAGCACTGCCAAGCCTATAAGCATACTGCAGGTTTTTCCTCCCAAGGTGGAGAACCTTGCATTTTTCAGTGTTAAACACCATCAGGTTCTTGTCTGCCCATTTCCTGAGCCTGTCACGGTCTGCCTGGATCACCCTCCTGTCCTCAGGCGTGGATGCTTT